CTGGGTCGGGCACCCCAACCCCTTCAGCTGCATGCTCAACCATTGTTTTGTCTCCTGATAAATGTCGAGGTTGCCCCAAGCCACCATCTGGTCGGCTAACCTGGACAGCCGGTCCTAGTGCTGGGGGGAATGGGCCCCTTGCTACCCTCTTTGCCCGGGGGCCAGATGCCTAAGTGCCCCAGCCACACCTCTCTCTCTCTCAGCAACAGGAGCTCTGGAAGGCCCTCGAGGAGGGCTTGGGCAGTATTGCTGAGTACTGAGTACTGGTGTGTGGCCCAGGCTGTCCCACTCCTCTGAGTCTGACCCTCCTCTGCATCTGATCAGGTGAGTGCTGATCAGGCGGCTGCTCCGTGATCTTCACTGTGTTGTCCAGCCAGCTGTCTTGGATCTGAGTGTCCCAGTTCAGGAAGTAGCAGCCATCTGGCTGCTTCCTGACCTTCCACATTCTCTGAGGCCAGGATGTCATATTTGCTGGACCCCTCCTCCTCTTCCTCATCACTGCCCAAAGAGTGCTTGCCTTTGAAATGACTTCCAGGACCTCCTGCCCCAGCCACAGGGTCCACTAACCTCTTCTTGGGGACCCTGATTTCATCCTCATTCTTACTTCCCATGCTTTGGAAGGTCACTTTCCTCTTTAGCATGACTGGACAGAAGGGTCTTCCTCAAGCTGAGCTAAGAACCCAGGGTAGGCTGCAAAGGGCTGTCTATCCTATTTTTGGCTTCAGGTTACATCTGTAAAATGGAAGGAGCAGGTCAACATAGCTATAAAGTTCCTTCCAACTCCATGTTGCAGGGTTCTAAGAGGAACTGTTGCAAGGTCATTAATGACATGCGTACTGATGAAAACTTCACTGCACAAACACGCACCCTTTTTGACAGTGGAAGCGTAACTGCTAAATGGCTGCCTACAATGTTAATAAGGTAACAACAGACTAAGCAAATTCTCAGGATGCCAGCAAACTCCAGAGTTTTCATTAATCTTTCATTCAGGGGAATGTAAAGAACATGTACTACATACCAATCACAGTAATGGGTAACTAGGGATAAAAGATGAATAACACACAATTCCTACTACAATCCATTCAGTCATTTACCAGGTTTTTCCTGAATGCCTACTATGTGCCCGGCACTGTTCTAGACACAGGGATATGGCAGTGAACACAACAGATCAGATCCACCACCCTCCCCCCAAAAAGTAATAATACCAAGAAAGAGACATGAAAGTAGCCAAATAATCTCCTCCACAGAGGGTAACAAAGTATTAAGAAAATTACAGGAGAGAGCTATGGATACATCTGTGGTGATTTTTATGACAAAGTCCCCAACTACTTACATACTCCTCCACCAAGAGGAGAGTATCTGTGGCAGAAGTGTCAAATTCATTTTTACCAGGTGCCACATCAGCCTCACAGTTGCCTTCAAAGGGCTAAAATAATTTTAGGACTGTATGAATGTAACTACTTAACTGTTAAGGAGTTGAAATTACATTCGGCCCTTTGAAGGCAACCACAAAGCTGACGTGGCCCCCGGTGAACATGAATTTGACACCCCTGGTCTGTGGCCTTCCTCTCACATCAGAGCTCCGTGAAGCTTCACTACTAAATACTACAGAAGAGATACTCCCCTAGTTGGCAGGCCCAGACCTTAGAAACAGGCAGCTTTCTCTTTCTCGAGATGCTCATTCCTGGAACTCAGCCACCATTCTGTGCAGAGGTCCAGGCCACATGCAGGTGTCCCTACTGAAAGTCAGCATCAACTGTCAGACACATGAGGGACGACAACACCAGATGATACCAGCCCCGGGAACTGAATAATCCAGTTCACGAGTCTTTCCAGCAGAGGCTCCGGATATGAGGGAGCGGAAACAAACCATCCCTGCTATGCCCTGTCCGGATTCCTGCCACAGAGCTGTGAGCATGGCAACGGCTGGCTTACACCACCGTGCTTTAGGGTGACTGCTGCACAGCAGTAGATGAGAGAAACGTCTTTAAGATATAAGGGATCATATATTTCTCATGATATCTCATTAGTGTTTTTAACTTGATTAGTAATCAAATTAGAACTTTTCTAAATAACGAGTAAATACTTTTAAAGTTACAATGGGAATTAATTTAAGAGAAAACCAAAATCCACAAAACATATTAACTTTGATGAGGGTCACTGTTCTGCACAATTATCAAGTAAAAACAAAGGAGAGACAGAGCTGATGGGTAACCTTTAACATTCCTCAAGACATTAACAAAGTAGCAGAGTTCAGTTTCCAAGTTCATTCATCAGGCAATTATTTACAGTGCACCCACAGTACTGGGCACAGAGCAGTGAACATAACAGATAAACATCCCTGTCCTCCTAGTGCTTAATTCAGTGAAGGGAAAGAGACAAACAAGACAAAGAAGTGTGTTCAATGGTATTACATGCTGAGAAGAAATACAAAGCAAGGAAGGAGACTAGGGAATGTTGCTAGCAGTGGTGATAATGGGGAGGGCTTGCCACACTGAGGTGACATTTGTGTCAAGACCTTAAAGAGGTGGGGAAATAAGCCATGTGGGTATATGAAGAAAGAGTACTCCAGAAAAAGCAAATAGTAAGTACAAAGACCTAGAGGCCAGTATGGCTGTGGCTGGTTGAGCAAGCAAGAAATAAAGCCCTGACCAGGGTGGTTCAGTGGGTTGGGTGTCAGCCCTCGGTCCTCAGGGTCACCGATCCCATTCCCAATCAGGAAATGCCTGGGTTACTGGCCAGGTCCCCAGTTGCGGGTGCTCAAGAGGCAACCGATTGGTGTTTCTCTCATACACTGATATTTCTCTCCCTCTCTTTCTCCTTCCCTTTCCCTCTCTAAAAATAAATAAATAAAATCTTTTTTAAAAAAAGTAATGAAAAATGAGGTCAGAGAGGAAACTGGGGACCAGATGGTACCAGCATACTTGGCAGATACCAGGGGTTCAGTTTGGGACCACCACAATAAAGTGAATACCTCAATAAAACAAGTCACAAATTTTTAATAAATGTTATATTTACATTATACTGTAGTCTATTATGGGTGCAACAGCATTATGTCTTAAAAATGCACATACCTTCATTTAAAAATTCTTTATTGCTAACAAATGCCAAGCATCATCTAAGCCTTCAGTGAGTCATAATCTTTTTGCTGGTAAGGGGTCTTACCTTCACTTTATAAAAACGCAGTATCTGCAAAGCACAGTAAAGTGAGGCACAATAAAATGAGTATGCCTGTAATGGCAAATGCTGGCAAAAACCCACCAGCTCTGAAGCTAGAACCAGGAGAACCAAATTCAACCAGAGCAGGAGTGATTTTGTTTTGTTCACTGACTCATCTCCAGCACCTGTAACAGCGTCTAACACCTAGCAGAACGAAGTCTCGGCTCTGTTACTTAGCAGCTATAGACTTTTAACAGATGACTGCATTTTTCTGAGCCTCAGGTCTAATGTGTAAAACTAAAATAATAATCCTTCCCACCTCCCAGGGTCACAGTGAGGATGGAGAATGGGGAAATATTTTGCAAACTGTAGAGCACCATCTATAGGTAACATTTTTACATGATTATTGTAATAGCAATCATTATTAACAACAATAATGTCTCTACCTTGCCCCATTAATTTCAACCTGCAAATCATTCTCTCCATCTGCCACGGAACTGGGGGCAGGGCTATCTTCCCGTCAGCATGAGGGAGCCTACTTTGAGCACCTAGGGGTTTTTGTGCATGAGTGGCAGTAATTAACATATGATAATTACTCCTACCAACTTTTCCTTGAAAGTCTGGGGAAAACAAACAAACAAACAATGAGACACAGTTCCCATGTGAGGATTCTACACCCTTTGTAAGATCCAGTCAGCTTGCAAACCTTTTTTTTTCCTGTCAAAATCCAAGAACACCTAATAAGAATGCCTTGACATCTCTCCACCTGTCTTGTTCCTCACTTAAAGCTACATCAGACTGTTGAAAGAACAGAAGGGGGAGCATGAGAACACTCTCAAGGCTGGAAAGACTCTCTTTTTTAGAGGCCAAGAATCCAATCATCTCAAACTGCTTGAATCCCACTAGAAAGAGAAAATCCACTATCTAACTCACAACTGGAGACAGCTTCAGTTTTCGCATCTGTGTATAGAGATAATACCATCTCCTTAAAGATGTTTCGATTCTGGAATAAAATAATGCATATAAAAGCATATGGCACATGCTAAATGCTCACTAAAAGTTGGATGAATCTGGATATTCATTTATTCGATAAATATTAAACGAACAGCTACAATATGCCACTCTGGGCTTTGGAAAAGGGCCATTAAAAAAGAAAGACAAAAATCTCGTTCTGTTGCAGCTAGCATGTACCTCCTGTAACTTCCCCTCACTAGTCCGTTCTGTTCTTTGGAATTACATCTGGCTTCTGCTAACACCTCCTCCACAGAGTAGAGTCCTTAGGGATCTTGCAGATGGCTATCACCATAGCTCCCATCCCCTTCCCTCCAGCCTAGACAAACAGCCTGAATTCTTTCAAGCAGTGCGCAAGGATGTGGAAACAAGCGCAAAAACTGGGCTGGGTGGGGCGAAGGCGGGTACCAAGGCGCCTCAGCCGAACGAGAAATCCAGGGAACCGAAGGCTCCAGCCCAAGGTCAAGTCGGGCTGGTTCAGTTCAGGTGTGTCACCCGACACTTCTCCCAGGAACCGCCATCCTCCGCGCCCAGGCCTCACAGCGGTCCTAACCAGGCACAGGGGGTATAGGTCCCAAGGGGGGGGGGGTGCCCTGGAAGGTTGGAGAACTCAACCAGGCACTCAATCCCCTGCCCAGGCCCCTCCTTCCCGGTCGCCTCAGAGAGAACTCGTAAGCATCATTCCCGGTGTTTCCAGGCTTCCCCCGACCCGGCCCAGGCCCCTCCTCCTCCGGTGGCCCCTCCAGGCGCTTCATCAACCCACGCCTCGTCTTCCTGCAGCCGCCACCTCTGTCCAGGCCCCTAGGACAGCCAGCGCCGGCCGCACTCACCTGCGAGCCCAGACCCGGGCCCTCCATCTCCCCACTGACGGTGGCGACTCGGCTAAGTGGCGGAGGCAGCCAGCTCTCCGGCCCACTCTCCAGCCCGTCCACAGTCGCCGGTATCCCACTTCCTGCTCGCTGCCCAGCCTCTGCCGCAGCCTCCGCTCGCGCCTTTACCGTCAATCGGCCCGGGAAAGCCAATCCCTGCTCTCCTCTCTGTTAGGGGCGGGACTTTCTTGCCACTTTGGAGGCGGGCAGGGAACCGCGAGTTGGGGGCCCCGCCCCCAGCCCGTGACGGCGGTCAAATTCCTGCCCCGGGTCTGAACTGCGTTGCTTACCGAGGTGGGTGTCCTCCTGACCTTCACGCCCCATCGCGTAAAGCTACTCAGATAATGTTCGACATCTAATAAGGAATCAACAAATGTTAACTATTAAAACATTTGCCACTCCACTTCTGCGGTCTTCGGATAGTCAATTCCACCGTCGCGGGGTCGGGGAGAGGGGGTCTGATTTCTTCTTACAAAACAAAATAATGAGTTCCGCAGCTTAGACTAGAGGAGGATTGGGCAAGAGACCCCACCTGCACTCCCCACGCCCCTTTAAGGTCTACGCTGAAAGAGCTAGCATCTAAATTCTGGCAAGCCCAAAGGACAGCTATAAGGATAGTATAAGGCTTGGTCCCTGCCCTTGCGGAGCTTCAGTGGTGCAGTGGGGCTTTCCTACTGAGTCTCGGGAAAACGGGAGCTTTTCTAACCCAGCACTAACACAGTCTTTGTAATTAATTATTCCTTATTATATCTGTTGTCAAGCAAAACCAGATTAAGACCTTGAGAAGTTAGATTGGAAAAGAACTGAAAACATTATGACTCCCTTTATACAATTAATACTAAACATAATGTGTCTAGAAATCTAGCAAAGTGCTGGTTTTTCCCATGATAAATGCTATAATACAATAAAATCATTAAATTATTATTATTAATATTACTAATACAAGCTACCTACTGGGCATACCAGCCATGAGTTGCCCCAAAAGCCCATCATCCCCCACTTGAGGGTGGGACGTCATATTCCATCTCTGAACTCCCAGAGCCCAGCACAGCACAGGGACATGGGAAATGCTCAGTACAATTTTATTCAGAGGATAGGTGAACAGATAGGTGTGTCATCAACTTCTGTGATACAAGGAAGGACAAATTGAGTGACAAATTGAAGTGTAAGCCACTTCCTTGGAGAGCCAGAGGAGCAAGGCAATTAATTTGGACAGGCTAGGATGAGACATCGGGCAAGGCTTTACAGGGGAGAGAGCCGTTGGGTATGGCCATTTTGTTTAGTTAATAAGAACTCTGTTTATTGATCACTTCCTGTGCATGGGCACCTGTGACGGTGTTTTTACATACACTATGTGTAATCTATAAGATATGTGTTATTTTTCCCATCTCCCAGAAGGAAAAAAACTGAGGTTCGGACTGATACCATAAACCCCAAGTCAATCAGCTGGTAAGTGGTGGAGAGAAGATTCTAACCCAGTTCTCTTACTTCGTAGTGCTTTGACTGAAGTGGTTCAGTTGTTTACTTTCAAGGACTGAATTAAAAGATGTTTTGGGGCTTAAGGAAGGCTTCAAAACTGCTATTTCAATGTTTCTGCACTGATATTCTAACACATCAGAAGATTCTGGAACAAATAAATCCTAACACTTCCCTCTGCCTCTTGTATGCCTCCATTGAGCTACTTCCGATTGGGATAAGTGTATGCAGAACTAATGGCTACAAGAAAGCAAACCCAGTGATGCCTGCGGTGCTGTCATTACCACTCATCTTTGAAAATGCCTTCGGCTTGTAGACATACCACAGCAGAATGGCATGAGAAGTGGAGCAGCTCCCAGAGAAGACTGCATGGGCCTGAATCCCAGCTCCAGCACTGACTATGCCTTGGGCAAGTTGCTCAATGTGTTTGTGTTTCGGTTTCCTCCTCTGTACTCAGAAGAGTGGCTGGCATATGATAGGCACTGTATGTGGGTTAGCTTTTATCATCAGGAGTGAGTGTTGGGGAGAGCTGAGTGAGTGTTGGTCCCCTAATGGACCAGCTGAGTGGTGTCATGCAACAAGCTTAAGGATGGAGATGCAGCAGACCTGGCTTCCTGTCCTAACTTTGCCTTCACTCACTGTATGTGTCAGTCGGCCGGGGCTGCCATAACAAAGTACCACAGACTGGGTGGCTTACAACAGAAATTTATTTTCTCACAATTCCGGAATCCAGAAGTCCAAGGCCATGGTGTCCACAGGGTGGTTTCTTCTGAGGCTTCTCTCCTTGACTTGTTGATGTCCATCTTTCCCCTGTGTCTTCACATGGTCTTTCCTCTATGCATGGCATCTGTATCCTAATCTCCTCTTCTTACAAGGACACAAGTCATAATGGATTAGGACCCTCCCATATGACTTCATTTGAACTTTCCTCTTTAGAGAGCCTACTTCCAAATATAGTCACATTCTGAGGTACTGGGTGTTAAGGTGTAAACATGTGAATTTGGAGGAGTGAAATTCAGCCAGTAACGCTGTGTGACCTTGGGCAAATCACTTTCTCTCTCTGGAACAGTTTCCTTATTTGTAAAATGGGGCTGAGATAGCAGCAAGAACACTAACCTGGATGGTCCCTCTCAGCTTCAATCATGGAATTTCCCCAGCTGAGACTAAGCTCTACCTCTCCAATCCCCACAGTACTTCTTTTTCATCTCCTTCAATGTCACTATTTCTCTTATTCTGCAAATGTATGAGATTGAGTTCCTACTGTGTGCCAAGCAACATTCAGCACTGGGGATTCAACACTGAGCAAGACAAAAACACCTGCTCCTTGGCTTCCTGGGGTTACTGTCCCCCTAGCAGCAAGGGACAAACTTGAACCAAACAGACTCACAAATACTGACCTCTTAGAGTCAGCCTTGTTGTTCTTGGGTAGATCCTCTTTCCTCTACTTGGCACACGTGGTCTCCTGGCACACATCCATCTCGAGGTCCCTTGCCATGCTTTGCACAAGATCTGGCATGTGCTAAAGCCTAAAAGTGCTGTCCAAACAAACGAGTGAAGACAGCTAAAGGGATGGTTTACAAAAGGACATCAAAGGTAGTCCAGCTCCGTAAATTACTCTAAGAAGTACTGACCACGGTGTTTCACAATTCTTAGCTTTAAAAAAGGAAATTCCACATTAGGGTTTGCTAATTCCCACTATCACACTAGGGGCAGCACTGACTCTGTTTTGACTGAACTTTTGATTCCAGCCTTTTTCTCCCACAGCTCTGGAAAGAACAGGGACTTTTTTTTGTTTTTTGTTTTTTGAAACAAGGGCTTTTGTTATAGTTATGTCATTGTTGGCACCAAAATGACCATTTGAAATGTAAAAAAAAAACAAAAACCCCACACATCTGTCAGCACAGAGCTTCTCGCAGACACAGGTCAGGAAACCCCAGTGCCCTTCGGTGCCAAGCCAGTGGGGCTGGGGTGGGGATGAGCGGGTGAGTGCTCGCTGGGAACACTTTAGGTAAAAAATGTTTATTGAGCTCCTACGATGTGCCAGGCACAGGCAAAAACATATAAATACAGCCTTCAATGGAGTAGAGTCTTATATGGAACTCTTGTTGGAGTTCAGGTCTTTTGGGAGGGGCGAATACTAACAGAGATAGATAGTTTGGTTTGTTTTTAAAGAAGTATAAATGATAAGTGCTGATAAGGAAAAGTACCAAGAGTATAACACAGGGACCCACACTAGCCTGGGGAGATACAGTAGGGTAGAGGATCCTTTTCACAACTCATAACACTGGGTCAAAAGGATGTTTCCATTACCCTCTATTTATAAATAGGCAAACAGGCTTGAGGAGGGAAGTGACTTGTCCAAGATCACCAGGCCAGTTAGTGGTGAAGGTGGGGTTAGGACGACTCCTCCGACCTGCCCTATGGCTCTCACACCAGCCCTCAAGCAGCCTCTGCTTTCTAACCATAGCCACCCTCCCAGATTCTCACGGCTGGGGGTGCGGGAAGGGTCAGAGATTGCTTGGAAGTCTTGCACCATCTCTTGCCTGCTGTCTACGAAAATGCTTCACAGTTAAAAAGTGAGAGTCTTTCCCTTCATTTTATATACAAATCACCAAGATCTGCTAATGAGAGACTCTAGGAACCACAGTTAACATGGGTTGGCTGTGGAGATCAATAAGGAGATCTGTGTAAGTTCCTTATAGTGTACCTGCCAGATTAACCAGATTCTCAAGGGTGTGTGGGGCAGAGGCAGGAGAGGGAGAGGGAGGGTAAAGCAGGAAGTATTTCTACCATTTTTTGGTGGTTGCTATTTTGAGTCTTAGTTACCCATCTGGAGTCACACATTAGATACCAACTCCTATGGAAAATTTTCTGGATGTGTCCAAATTGTGACGGCAACACTCCAGTCTAGGTAATAAGTCTACCTTGACTCTGATATGGGTATCCAGGACTTCCCTCTCTGTCTTCTGTGTCCATCTATCACAGCTCTGCATTGATTGGTTCACACACTCATCTCCCCCAGGCCTCTATGCTCCTACAAGACAATTAAATATGACTTCCTCAGCAAAGCCTTCCTAGACCCCTAGATTGGGATAGGACTCCCCAGTAAATGCCCTGATAGCACCTGTAATTCTTCTAACAGCACCATAAAACATTATTGAACTCACATTTTGACCATCTATCTTCTTTGCACACCATGAGCAGAGAACCCGGCCTCGTCTCAGACACAGACTGATTCCCAAGGCAGAGCCAGTACCTGGCCCATGGAGCCACTCAATATTCAGTTGCCCAATGAATAAACAACCCTATATTACTCATTTTAATTTATATCCTTAGTGCCTGGCACATTTCCCAGCCCAGGTTAAGTGCTCAAAAAATGTTGACTTGAGTTAAAGAATCCCATCTGTGTCCCTATACAGTTTGCAAAACACTCACGCTTCATTTAGAACGAGATTCATAACATATTTGCGCAGCAGGCAGAGCATGGATTGGCATTTCGCTTGATAAACTGGCTCCGGGAAGCTTCAGCAGCTGCCCCAGGGCATCAGGCTAGACGGTGGAAGAGCCCGGACCCAGAATATCTGATGACAAAGGCAGG